GGGACACCCCTGCGCTGGGACACCCCTGCGCTGGGACACACACCCCTGCCCTGGGACACCCCTGCGCTGGGACACACACCCCTGCCCTGGGATACCCCTGCACTGATGCTGGGACACCCCTGCCCTGGGACACCCTCAGCCATCAGTGTCTCAGCTGTTCTCACACTTCCCTCTGCAGTGAGGCGATTGCTCACGTCTGGCATCGTGACGCAGGTGTTCCCGCTGCATGACCCTGAGGCCCTGAAGAAGCTTGAGGACGAGTGGTACACGCGGTTTGCTCTGAAGTACCAGCCCATAGGTAGGTGTCTCTCCTGTGTCCATCCAGTGCCTTCCTGCCAGGGCTTAGCAGCCGCATGAGCAAGAAGATGGCTTGATGGCCTTGTCCTTTAAGTCTCGCTAAGGCTTTGGCCAAATTTATTTACAGATAGGCAGCTCAGGGTAGCCTTTGTGCATACATGTCTTTTACTAAGACCTTACTTGTTTTTAGGTGTGTGTGTGTGTGTGTGTGTGTGTGTGTGTGTGTGTGTGTGTGGTGGGGTTGGGGTTCTGCATGTTAGGCCCCTGCAGAGGCCAGAAGAGGGTGTGAGGCCCTGGAGCTGGAGTTGGCAGTTTTGAGCTGCCCAGGTTGTTTGGTGTGAACTTGGGCCTTGTACAAGAGCAGCCGGTGCTTGTGGCCGCCTGACCATCGCCTACACTGCTGAGTCCATGTCTTCACACACGTAGCTTGACTGAACACCAGTGCTGAGGTGTTTTATTCCCATGGAGGTGGCCAGGCTGTGCTCACACTGAGGAAGACTCAGGGATCCTCTGCTCTCTCTGAATAAGGTGACTTTCTCTGATATAAAATATTGAATATTCATGAAGCTGTGTTAACACTAATGTTCAGCATTTTGGGCTGCTTGTGTTTGGATAAACCTTTCTGCTGGAGATTAAGCCCTGAGCGTGCTCAGCAAGTGCTCCAACCCTGAGCCACGCCCCAGATGTGCTAAGTCTCTGAGCATGGAGACAGTGTTCCGGCTGGAGCGCCACTGAATGCTGCTGTCACCTTTTTTTCTTTAAAGGAATTTCTTTTTTTCTGTTTTAAAGAAAGTCTTCTTTCTGTATTTTTTATTTTCATTTCGATAAACAATTATTACAATGTTGAACTAGAACCGAGATTGGAGGCTGCAGAGGTGGCTCAGAGGCTAGGTCTCCTTGCTGCCCTTGCGGAGAACTTGATTTCCCTTCCAGCATCATTGAGGAGCTCACAACCACCTACAATTCCAGCTTCAGGGAGCTGTGACACCCTCTTCCTGTCTTCTCTGAGGCCATCTGCACACACACACACACATTAAAATCTTAAAGTTTTATTTCTTTTTTGAGTATTTGGTATCAGACTTTGAAGTTGCATTTTAAGTTTTTCTTGCAGTCTCTGAAATTGAAAAGCTTAGTTTCGGTAACTCCAGGTTACACAGCACTCGTGTTTATGGGACACTTGAAAGAGTTTCCACTTGGTTTGTATTTAAATAGCAGTAATTTCAGTGGTGCCTGTGGGACCACAGGTAACTGGTCCTGTTAAGGAGTCAGCTCTTAGAGAGGGAAAGGCCTCGGGAGAACACTGGTGTGGGCTGTGGGAGACCGAGCCCTGGGCTGGGCCTGCCAGGAGGAGCTGGCAGAGGGAAGGAGGCCACTGGCTTGGAGGCCAGTGCGCGGTGGGGCTGGCAGTGGATGCAAGGAGTCTTGATTCACGTCTGTGAGCGGTATGTCCTGTCTCACCCTCCACACAGAGCGTCCCGGCAGTGACACTGCTGGAGGAAAGTGGCCACACATAGACACCCACGCAGGGGTTCGAGTCCACGGCTGAACTTGACCTAGGAGCTTAGAAATTAAGCCAATGCCAAGATTGTCTTTCTCTGGGAGGGAGGTGAGGGGGAACTGATCGAGGGCCCAGGCCTGAGCTGTGAACTGGGCAAATTGGAGGCTCGTCACACTGACAGGCGGGACTGGTGTGCAGGTTGGGTCCACACAGGACAGAGCTGGCCCCCACACGGCATGGAAACCGAGGCGTGAAAGCCCTCCATCCATGCGCCCGCACCTCAGCTCCCACCTCCTTTCCACTCTAGACAGCATCCGTGGCTACTTCGGGGAGACCATTGCGCTGTACTTCGGGTTCCTGGAGTACTTCACCTTCGCCCTGGTCCCCATGGCGGTCATCGGACTGCCCTACTACCTGTTCGTGTGGGAGGACTACGACAAATACGTCGTCTTTGCCTCGTTCAACCTCATCTGGTCCACAGTGATCCTGGAGGTGTGGAAACGCGGCTGTGCCAGCATGGCCTATCGCTGGGGGACGCTGGTCATGAAGAGGCAGTTTGAGGAGCCCCGGCCGGGTTTTCACGGGGTCCTGGGCGTCAACGCTGTCACCGGCAGGGAGGAGCCGCTGTACTCCAGCTACAGGCGGCAGCTGCGCATCTACCTGGTGTCACTGCCCTTCGTGTGCCTCTGCCTGTACCTCTCGCTCCACGTCATGATGGTGTACTTTGACATGGAGGCCTGGGCCTTGAGTGTCCACGAGCGCAGCGGGGCCGAGTGGACCGGCCTCCTGCTCTATGTGCCCAGCATTGTCTACGCCGTCGTGATTGAGGTCATGAACCGCCTCTACCGATACGCTGCCGAGTTCCTGACGTCGTGGGGTAAGCCTCCACACGTGTCCCGGGGCTCACGTGCCTTTAGGAGGTGCTGCTGGGGGTCAGAGGGCTGGGGAGAGTGGCTGAGCTGCTAAAGGCGCCTGCCTTCAAGTCTGAGGACCCGAGTTTCATCCCTGAGAGCCGCCCCTGGCACTGGGGAATCCACGTACCCACACCTGTGCACATACACACGCATGCACAGCCCTCAGAACATACCACACAGGATAAAAACAGGAAAATGAGTTGTTGCGTGGATGGCTGGGCTCACGGCCACTGCTGGCGGAGAGGACAGGGTCCTCGGGCTGTGGCGACTAAGACGGCTCATCCGTGGCCACTGATCTCCGTGCTGTGGCTTCCACAGTGCCAGCTTATCCAGGGTGCATGCTGGTGTCTGAGCAACCCCCCAAGCCCCGGTCCTCATCCTCACCTTCTCGGGGACCGTGAATCAGCCCCCCACCCCCATGGATAAGGACCTATGGCTGCTTGGTGTGACCCCAACAATATATAGCGGAGTGAAGGCAGCACAGACACGTCTGTGCAGGACCTATCCAGCACCATCCATCTCACACTGGGGGAGACTGAAGGAGAAAGTGTCTCTGGGGGACGGGGTTTGTGTCCCACTGTCCCAGGGCAGCTCAAGGGTGGGGGCTCCTGCATGCGTCGGTGCAGAGAAGGGCCTGGGTAGAGGTGAGTGCAGCTCACAGGCCATTCAGTGTCTGTCCACGTCTGTGGGAAGAGGTCTGGGCCTTGACTTCATGGGCCCAGCGTTTGAAGGTTCTGCCCGCTGCGTAGTGACAGCAGCCAGGCCGCCACGGCTGTCTTTGTGCCGGCCATTTGTTCTCCACAGCACACAGGCAGCAGCCAGCCCTCACAGCAGGAGGCAGCATGGTGGCCTGAGGTGGGCTAGTGTCCACCTGGAGGTTAGAAGGCCAGTCCTCGCTGCGGAGCCCCTCGTGGGGCCTTTGCTCCTGCTTCTGCTGTCCTGGGTCACTGCGCCGTGTCCGCAGTTCTAGGCCGGGGTGGACCCCGAGTTCTCCTCATGTCAGCCCTCGTCCGAGGACCCTGTACGAAGCTGTGCTGCCCTCGAAGTGCGCACACCCTTCTTCCGGGTGGCCGGCTGTGGGCTCGTTTGCTGACGTTCCCGAGCACAGTGCTGCCGTGGCGGAGGAGGGTGTGCCCGGGTGGACGCTCCTGCTGCCATGGGCTGGCTGCCCCACTGACTGACCCCCTGGCGACACACCTGCAGCGATTCTCCTCTGAGAGCATCTCTCTCCCTCTTCCCGCTGTAGAGAACCACAGACTGGAATCTGCCTACCAGAATCACCTCGTCCTGAAAGTGTTGGTGGTAAGTGGCCTTCGCTGCGGCAGCATCTCTCCGAGGTGCCACCGGGGTTCTCTGTGCGGGACAAGAGTGCAGTCTGTGGGCGCAAAGCGGCTTCCAGGTCTGTGCTGCTGAGGGGGAGGGTCCTTCTGCTGTGGCTGCCCGGGCCCAGCCTCTCCATGGGACACGCAGCCTGGGCCCCATGGAAGGAGAGGAGGACCCTCCCCTGGAGCTCCCCGAGTGGGGCGGGGCCAGCCCTGGCCTCCTGGCTGCAGACTGGAGAACTGTGGGGTTCTGCGCGGTGCTCCTGCTCCTGAGGCTGCCCAGGAGCCTCGGTACTAACCCTGGAGGCTCCTCTCACCTCCAGGTTGACGGTCGAGCTGGGGCCGGGGCCGGGGACGCAGCCCCAGGCCTGTCTGCGGCGGGGCCTGGTCTGCGGGGGTTGTGTCGCTGCAGCGCTCTTAACTCTGTCGTCCTCTCTGGCAGTTCAACTTTCTGAATTGTTTTGCCTCGCTCTTCTACATTGCCTTTGTCCTGAGGGACATGAAGCTTCTGCGCCAGGTGAGTGTGGCTGATGGAGTCGTGGGGGAGGGCCCACAGACGGTCTCCTGCCCTAGAAAGAGCCCTCCTGTGCTTTCCTTCCGCCCGTCTTCCTTGACCACGCTCCACTTTACTGTTTGAGGTGGGGTCTCTCACTGCACCTGGGTTGCCAGTCCAGCAGGGCTAGCCGCCCAGCGAGCCCCCAAGATCTCGCGTCTGTCCCAGAGCTGGGGTACAGGCTCCAATCACCCGCCTCTTCCCCTCAGGGTCTGACTCGGGTCCTCATGTTCCCACAGCAGGCGTTTTACTGATGGCGTCATCTCCCCAGCTCGGGACTGTGAAATATTTCAGTCACAGCGGTTCTCGCCCGCCCTAGGCCTGGCAGTGCCATTTTGTAGCCACAGGCTATAGTGGGGATAGGGGACACAGAGCACAGCGCAATGTCAGGTTAACCCAGGTTCCTAAGGGCTTCGGACTGGTGACTCATGCCATGCTCTGCTCTGCTCCTGTGACCGTGACGCTGTGCTTCTCCGCAGAGCTTGGCCACGCTGCTCATCACCTCCCAGGTCTTGAACCAGGTTGTGGAGTCTCTGCTCCCTTACTGGCTGCAGCGGAAGCACTGTGCACAGCTCAAGAGGAAGGTGCGGGCCTTGAAGGCGGACGTGGACACAGCCTTGTACGAGCAAGTACTCCTGGAGAAGGAAATGGGAACTTACCTGGTAAGCCGGAGCAGGGGCACGCCACAGTGACGAGTGACAGTCACACGTGCTCCTGAGTGTGAGCTCGCGCTCCTTGGCTCTGCTGTGGCATGGCTCTGCAGGAGTTCTGCAGCAGGTTCCCTGGCAGGAGCCACTTGGAGGTTACAAGTGTGCATTTAGGTGCCTTTCAGACTCGAGGGCGGAGAGTCACGGGGCATTTCACAGAGGGGTGCAGGCAGCAGAGCGTGCCTGCATGGAGCCAGAGGAGAGCGAGCCTGTGTGTGCACAGTCAGAGGAGAGCGAGCCTGTGTGTGCACAGTCAGAGGAGAGCGAGCCTGTGTGTGCACAGAGCCAGAGGAGAGCGAGCCTGTGTGCAATCAGAGGAGAGTGAGCCTGTGTGTGCAGTCAGAGGAGAGTGAGCCTGTGTGTGCAGAGTCAGAGGAGAGCGAGCCTGTGTGTGCACAGTCAGAGGAGAGCGAGCCTGTGTGCACAGAGTCAGAGGAGAGCGAGCCTGTGTGCACAGAGTCAGAGAGCGAGCCTGTGTGCACAGATGTGTGTCATGGTGTCATCCTGCGCTTTGAGTGGGGTGAGACTAGGGTTGAACAGGTCATGGAGCCTGTGCTTTTCCTTGCTGTGAGCAGCTCTCTGCAGAGACAGTTCACGGCTCTGCTGTTCTGAGGAGATGCTTGCGGCTTATTAGAGCTTTGGTTCCTTGTGATGCAAACATCCAGCTCACGAAACCCAGCTCTGCCTTCACTCTTACCTGCTGAGGAGCTCCAAATGCAACTTTACCTCCGGTCTCTCTGCTGCTTTTCCTAGGCTCATTGTGTGTTGTGCAGACCCCCCCCCACACGCTCACACACACACACACACACAGATACACACACACGCTCACACACACGCTCACTCACACACACGCTCACACACACACACGCTCACACGCTCTCTCTCTCACACACACACACACACACACGCTCACGCTCTCTCTCACACACACACACACACACATATGCACACACACACACACACACACACACACACGCACGCACGCAAGCACGCTCTCACACTCACATACCTGAGGATGGATGGCACTGCGGGGACACGGCCACTCTTAGCCCTGATCTCTCCAGTGCTCGCACACCATCTTTCTTCATGAAGGTGACCACAGCCCCCTCTTGCTGTGCCCAAGCTGGGCACAAGCGGACAGTGCTGTTGCTGGGCAGCGACCAATCAGGAGGCGGCTCCAGACTCCAGGCCAGGGCTGCGTTGTGAGCATGTGCTGTGAAATGGGCGAGCCAGAGGGTGATGCTCTTCCTTGCCATCCGCAGTCTCCCTGTCCCTGCTCCGCCAAGGTGGCGTGTGCGGGCCCTGGAAGGGATGGTGTTCAGTGCGCACGTGTGCGGGGCCATCTCTGCGCACCCTGCTCCCACCGCTGTGTGTGCATGGAGTCAGAGGAGAGGGAGCGTGTGCGCGTGGAGCGAGGCTCAGAGAGTGTGGCCGCGATTTGGAGGAAGGCAGTTCGTCAGACGGTAACCCTGTGAAACACAGCTGCCCCTTCACTAAACAACCCCAACAACCCCGAGAGTGCGACAGACAGCAGAGGAAGCCCTGTCTCCTCCCTGGCGGCCCTGGCCCCTGCGCTCTTCCAGCCCGCTGCACCTGCAGCTTCGCATCCTGTAGCTGCAGGACGAGGACGCCCACCCCGTGTGTGGGCCGCCTTCCCCCAGCAGCTCGGCGCCAGCCCGCGCCTAAACACCTTAAACGTTGACATCGTGGTTACTTTAAAGGTGCTTTCAGTACGGTAACTCGCAGTAGTGAGTCAACAGCAGTGTCTTAGTGTGTGCAGAAGCCGTGTGGGGATGGGCTTAGAACCCACAGTGGAGAATCTCTGCTCGCCTCACTCTCAGGGCTGGCCTTGTGACCATCCTCAGCGTGTGACTGTGCTGCCCTGTGCCAGCCACAGCAGAGCTGGCTTGACCCCCGTGCTGGGGGAGGGGGAGACCCTCGTGCTTGTGGGCGGCAGAGCTTAGAGGACTTTTTCTGTTTTCTAGTGACCAGGTCTGTGGGGGTGCTTTGCTGCCGTGCCCTGGAGCGGGCACCTCTTTTTAGCAGCTGAAGACTGCCCCTTGCTAGCATTTCAGTTATTCCCACATGACACTGGGCAATGCTGCTGTCTTTCCACGCTGCAGGGAACCTTTGATGACTACTTGGAGCTGTTTCTGCAGTTTGGCTATGTGAGCCTGTTCTCCTGTGTGTACCCACTAGCAGCTGCCTTCGCTGTGTTAAACAACTTCACCGAAGTCAACTCAGATGCCTTGAAAATGTGCAGGGTCTTCAAACGGCCATTTGCAGAGCCGTCGGCCAGTATTGGTGTGTGGCAGGTAATTACAGGAAGAGCACTGTGAAAGCTATGGGTCATTGTTGGGGGAAAGAAAAATTCTAAAAACAGAAAATGTATACCCTAAACACCACTAACTGTTACCAGAAAATAAGCTCAAGATTATTAGCAATAAGCCAGGTAAGAAAAGCCAACAGTAAAAACAAGGATTGATAGAAAACAAGTGTCTGACTTAAGTCCCAACATACCAATGATTGCACTAACTATAAATGGCCTAAAGACGCAGATTAAAGACTGAGATTGGCAGAGTGGATGAGGATGACCCAGGTACACTCTGTGGATTAGAAATAATTCACAGGTTGATAATCACAGGGTGAAAGTAAAAGAAAGAAATAAGGAATCATTGCTGAAAAGAAAAGAGAAAAGGGCAAGCAGAGGCTGCTATTATACTATCTGAGGCAAAAGTTACCAGAGAGGAATGCTCTGCCATGAAAAGTCTTAGAAAAACATCAAAGTGAACTGTATATGGATCAAGCAACAGTTTTCAAACAGGAGGGAGGCAAAAAGACTTGAACAGAAAGGAGAAAGAGATGAACCCATGTTGTAGTGAAAGAGGAAAACACTCCCTTCCCAGGATGGACGAAGTCACCCAAGAGTAGAGAGGGCTCAGTGGCGCCTTAACAGTGTCTGACAGAACAGCCAGTTATCTCTCAGGGCAGAAAACATGTCAAAGAGTTGCAGTTGTACACAGTATGTCTGTGACAATGAGCTCAAACCACAATTAGTGACAGAAGATAACAGCAGGACCTCCAAACACTAGAAAACCAGACAGCACAAAATTCTCATGAAAGAAAGATCTCAGATGAAGTCCAAAGATACACTAACCCAAAAGGAAAAGTGTGTGGGATGTGTCTAATAAGCAGGGTTGACAGGAACTCACAACACTAGATGTTTATGCTGGAAAAGCAGCTCAGTGTTTGTTAAACGAGAAAAGACAGGCCTAACCCAAAGCCGGTAGACAGGAGAGAAGAAAGAGCAAAGATGTGGTTCCTTGAAAAGGCAGGCAGAGTGGCAGTGTGCAGTGAGGGCAGAGTGAGGTCTGTGTCTACAGCCTTAGCAGCCGCTGGGGTCAGGGGAGAGCTACCACAGGGACTCGGAACTTGATAGGCAGTGGCAGGGACCTGTCCTTCAAATGCAGGGCCTCCTGCCTCAACCCAGCCAGTGATGGGGTGGAGGACGGGGGGTGGATAGAGACAGACAGACAGAAACAGGCAGACAGACAGAGAGATAGAGGATTAGATAGTTCCTTTAAAAGTGCAGTCTCCTGCTGCAGTTCAGCCAATGAGTTGGGGAGGGAAGGGGCATCTCTGTGACTGTGAAGGGAGCTGAGTCTAGAGTCCATATACCCAGAAGAAAAATCCTGGCTTAGATAACTATGCCACAAATTCCACTACTTAAAAAGAAGTCACACCAATTTTATAAAATTCTAGACAGTGGAGGAAGAGTGAGTGTTTCCGAGATCATCTTCTGTGACCTGGACAAGCAGCGATTCTTCAGTTGGAGGGAGGGCCAGGGGGTCGGAGATAAAGAAGATGCCACAGGTGGGCTCAGAAGGTCCTGAAAAGATGTCTGTGCTGAGCAAGCTTATTAGGAAGCACAGCAACTTGCTTACTTCTTCCAGGGAGAAGAGAGACAGAGCCACAGAAACTAACACCCAGTGGGGCAGAATCAGCAGGAACTACCGCCCAGTAGGGCAGAGCCACAGAAACTACCCCGCCCAGTGGGGCAGAGTTAGCAACAGGCTCATCAAGCTGCACAGTCCCATCAGCATCACAGACCCGCACACAGTGGCCTTGGCTGAGCAGTCCTGTCATCTAGGGTGGGAAGAGTTGGGTTTTCAGGACCCAAAGCTGAAGCATCCCCAAGGCCCTGGCCTCGGTGTTACTAGCTCAGACAAAATGTTCCTGGCTTAGAGAAGTAGCAATGTTTCTTCTCCATAATCAGGGTCTTGGGGAAGGCCTCAGGTCAGTCTAGCCCTCAGTACTTAGGAAGCCACCGTTAACGTGATGGCAAAACCAGAATTAAGAAACAACAGGATCCCTCATGTATGGCAGAAGACATGGAGACAGTTGTGTGCTGAAACTGAAACAGTGCATGCACACAGACGGGCACAGGTAAAGTTGCCATGGGCGTACTGTGCCAGCGTTCTTACTGCCCGTGGCATTCGACCGTGATTCCCAGACACATTTCTTGTGGGAGAGTGACATGAAGATGGTAGGACTCACATAAAGATGCATAGGCCCTATGTGTGAACTTACATAACTCATGAAGATATAAATTCACAAAGCATAGACCATAGATCAGTTTTACTTACAATGTCAAGTGATATAAGACCAAACAACTCATGATACCAATGGGTAAGGGCTGTGTAAAATCACTTTTTATGTTCAGTAGGATTAGAATTACTACCTAAAGCAGAAAGGAAAGAATTGTAAACATAAAAGAGAAGGGACAGATAAAACCGTCTTTGGAGAAAATACAGTTTCATAATTGTGCCCTTGGGAGAGCCCAGAGAATCAACTGGAAAATTGCCAGAGGTAACAAGAAAACACAGAAACTCACAGAATCAGAGGACCAGGCAGCCATTTTGTCTACCCGTGGACAAAGAGATGGAAGTCTAGCCTTGTGCCTGTCAGGATGATCGGCTTCAGTTGCCAGGCAGCCGCCAAGAGCTTTAAAATAACAGCTTAAAGCACAGGGTCCCTGTTGACAGCAGCACAGGACACAGGGACCTCCCAGTGGGACCCCAGCCAGTGTGCTGCTGCTCCATGGAGGCCGCCTCTGTATTCGCCAGTGCACTGCAGGGACTTTGGTTCTTGTGATGAGTCATGTGAACAGGGCCGGAGGTGTCCACACTCAGCCTGGCTGCCCTCGGGAGGAAAGCCTGGCCATACTGCTTAGCAGCAGCCAAGCTGAAAGGATCTGAAACGCCCACTAGAGCAGTTTCCCTAAGCACAGAGAACCCTAGCAGGATGGACCGACGCTGAAATGTGTGTGGGTTCTGTAGAACCCAGGGAGGGTTTCCCTTGGCTTCAGATGGCATGGGCGCAGCTGATGAGCTGTTAATGCCACGCCTTTCCCTTTCAGCTGGCCTTTGAGACCATGAGTGTTATATCTGTGGTCACCAACTGTGCCCTGATTGGAATGTCACCACAAGTGAATGCACTCTTTCCAGAATCCAAGACGGACCTCGTTTTGATTGTGGTAGCGGTGGAGGTGAGTGAAAGGCCCCCACATCCCAGGCCTCCCTCTGCGGCCCTCCAGCAGAGCGCCGCTTCGGGCCTGGTGACACATGTTGCTGCGGCCGTGGTGACACATGGAAGCGTGTCCTGGGACGGCACTAAACGTGCTGGCTATGCGGCTGCTCGCTGCCAGGCACTGCCGATTCGTCCTCTTGGAGTAGACATCTGTGGATTTCGTGAGTGTCCACACTTCTAGGGAAGTGCCCCCTCTGGGTCTTACACACTTAGATACTCTTGGCACTGGGGCTTTGTCTGGTCCACTGCAGTGTGCTCACCGTGGAACACTGAGGCTCTGTGCTGTGACTGGTAGAGAGGCTCACAGCCTCACAAGATACAGGTCCTGTGGCTGTTACTCACATTTGTGTTTATCGTGGAACACGGGTTCCCACTGTCTGGAAAATTAGGCAGGGACTGAACATGACCGGGCATTCTCAGAGCTGCTTCCACTGCTGCTGCTTTGTGACGCCGAAGAACACTGTGTCCCTTCGTGCCTACTTAAAACTGTAACACTGCGGAAATATGTGGAAACAGAACTTGGTAAGACTGTAATGTGTCACACAACCCAGGAAATGAAGTTGTGAGCTCGAATGTCCCAGCAGGAGGCTGAGGAGATCCAGCCTGCTGGGCCCCTCTCTCCTGTCCTGTGTGGCAGGTGTGTGTATGTGTGCGTGCTCACTGTGGACGCTGTGTGCACAGAACAGAGTGCGTTTGGGAGGATAATTTTTAGGCACCGCTGATTAGGAAGGGGTAGACCCGGTGGTTGTCAATATGTCTGTGTTGAATTTGGGAAGTAGAGCAGGAATCTGCAGAGCTATTTGTTACGTGTAGAAGAGAGGGTAAGAGAAAGACCTGGACTTATAGAGGCGCACAGCAGGGTAGAGGAATTGAATCCAGAACACAGCTGCTCTGGCAAGAGACCACATCCACAGATCTTCTAGGTTTGTGTGATCCGGCTGGGATAATGAACACACCTTTAATCCAGGAGACAGAGGCAAGCAGATCTGAGTTCAAGGACAGCTGGTACAGAGCAAGTTTCAGGTAAAGAATAGCTTAGGTCCAGGCATTGGTGGGACACCCTTTTAATCCCACGCAATGAAGGTAAAGATAGTTTGTAGAAGGAAGCAAACCATGTTTGAAAGTGATGTCTAATTGAGTGGCAGGAAAGGTGACGAATCAGAGATGTGACAGAATAGGATACGCCCAATTCTCAGAAGAGAGAGAGGAATGGGAAGCTACTTAAGGGGCAATGCAGAAAAAGAGAGAAGGCAGTTTTATCAGGACAGTAAAAGACAGGGGTTGTAGAGAGAGAAATCAGGTGAAGACAGAACCAGCCAGCAAATGAGAAGGGGCCAGAAGATGAGAAAAGATTGCTGAAGTTAGTTTGAAGCAAAGCAGAATAATTTGAGAGAGAAGCCAGATGAAATCAATCAGCTGGGAGAGGAGTTTGAGCTAGAACAGCTGAGTTGAACCAGCCCAGAGCTCAGCAAGAACTAGAAAGGGTGAGCTTATTCAGCAGTGAGTCTCAGAGGCTGAAAACAATCTAGGCCTACGCTAGATTGTAGGGAGGCGAGAAACTTCAGGACTAGGCCTAGGTCAGCAGACAGAGGCAGTAGGCTCCAAGACAGCAACTCAAACAGGCCAATGAAAGTTCCTTTCACACAGCGGGGCCCTGTGATGCCAGAGGGCTCTGCAGCTTTGCGACTTGGTTTTGCTGAGTCCAGAGTTAGCCATGTGTGGGGGATTGACTTCAAACCAGCCAGCTGCAGAAGAGGCTGGTTTGCCAGGCTGGAGCGCTGGAAGGCAGTTTCCATGGAGGATACTCCCCAGCCCCTTCAGTCCTCAGTGCCAAGGTAAGGGGACCTCCCCAGGTGGTTTCCTGGTGGTTTCTGAAGGAGACCAAGGAGGGGTGGCAGTCCTGAGAGACCCAGAAAGCCTGACAGCCGCCCTGGGCGGCTGTGGCTGGAGGAGCGGGTGCAGCCACCTCTGCTCCCGCCACCTTCCCCCACTCCAGGGCGTTCACAGGCTCAGGGACACTGCTGTCCTCCGGGCCTGCAGACTTCAGGGCAGCTCTGCCGGGGCCAGGCTCCTGCTGCTGCCCTCACTCCCAAGAGCTCCCTAGCTGTGGTTGATTCGTTGAGCTTCCTGTGTCAGCACAAAAATCAGCCCCAGGAAAAATGCTAGAAATAAGATCGCAACAACCAAAGTAAGCCGGTTTCCCTTGTGCCACACGGTGCTCCGCTGGGGTCTCAGTAATGCTGGAGGAAAACAGGGAGTGATAGCCTGAGAGTCAACAAGAAACAAACGAGGAAACAGGTTTTCCTGTGTGACTGTAGGTTTGTAAAGTCAGGCTGACATCCCAGCTCAGACTTCGAAGGGAACTTGTGTGACGCCTGCTTGATTAGTTCAGCTGTGCCAAGCATGCTGCGACGCGTGTGCAGCTGTGCCAAGCAGGCTGCGACGCGTGTGATTCACATCGGCCCTCAGGTGTGCATAGCTTTTGTCAGTGAAGTCAGTGAAGAGCTATCACTGGCTTAAACTCATTTTAAGTAAGATTTTCCCTTAAGCCAGGTGTGGTGGGCATACCTTTAATCCCAGCACTCAGGGAGGCAGGGGCAGGCAGATCTGAGTTTGAGACCAGCCTGGTCTACAAAGTTCCAGGACAGCCAAGGCTGTTACACAGAGAACCCTGTCTTGAAAAACCACCAAACCAAACAAACAAAAAAATGAAAAGATTTCCCCCTTAAACCTTAACAATATTTACAAAGGAAGTAAAGTATTAAATTTTCTATAGATTAAAATTATTTATATCGTTCCCTACCCCCCCCCCGGATCTAGATAGTTTATATTTACTCACGTTTTTGTTGTTCTGGTTCTCTGAGACAGCATCTCCTGTCGCCCAGGCTGTTATCAAACTCATGTGGCTGCCGACGCCTTGGGCCCAGTCCCTTCCTCTACCTCAGTGGCTGGGATTATTTCTCTTGAAGCTCATTAGCATCTAAGTATACTCATGTGGTTAAGATTGTTGCAGAGCGAAGGAAGCCCTTTGGAAGATACCCCTGTTTCATAAGGTTGGGGCTGTGTTGTGTTAGGGTGGCCTCACATTTCCAACACCAGATAACTTCATGCCTTTACTTCTTTTTGATGCTTTGGGTTTTTTTAAGAGTTGGCTTTCCTGTAGCCTTCAGTCAAGGGGCAAAGATGGCCGTAGTGTGGCACTTGTGTTTGCCGCCACCTAGTGCCGCCCTGAGATGCAAGCTCACGGTGGGGCTTTACAAATAGATTTACTGGGACTGGACGAGAGATCTGAGAGATTGGAGCGCAAGAGGAGAGCACGCTCAACGTGACCGTTTGTGGGCTAGTTGGGTACTGGAAACTCCGAGAAGGTCAGCCCCCAGAGCAAAGCGGTGCCCGACAGCTGCCCTCACACCACTCACCTCTGACAGCCTTGGCCCCTGATGTGGGCGCCAGCAGAGGGCACGTCTGCAGTGCAGGGTCACGGGAAACGCTTGCCCGTGTGCGACTGCCAGGCCGTGCCCGACCAGCGGGGGCTCCCCTAAGGTGGAAGCGAACCAGCTCCCACGTGACCAGAGAATCGGTTGGTTCTGCTCACATTTAATTTTTACTTTGAAAACTATCCCTCAAAACCATTTGTGGGGGGCCAGAGCTAGCACCATGGTGCGCGCCCCCTCCTGGAGGAAGGCAGGGCTGGCCGTCCACAGAACAAGTGTGAGGCCGAGCAGGATAGTGAGCAGAGCCCGCCCGTGTCACAGGAGGCATGGGTGTGACTGGGTGGTGATGCACACTGAGGCTCTTGCCATCCCGTCACCCTCATTTCTTCAGCGAAGATGACCAGGGCAGAGGGTCGCTGAGTAAGGATTGTGTCCTTCCCTGACCTCTGTGAGGCCCAGCCCTCGGGTATGAAGTGAAGACACTGGTAATGTGCTAAAGAAGTGACAGGCTCGCGCCAGGCTTGAGCCACACGGGACGCTAGTGGCTTCACCTTTAGCACCCGGGCCTGTCCTGGCTCCCGGCCTGTGTCTCCACGGCTTTGTGTGTGTCACAGTTTGCTCCTCGTATTAGTTTCCCACTCCACTCTCTTCTCTCCTGCTGGTTTGTTTCCATGCCTCAGTCCCTCCCTGCTCGGGCCTGCTGCTTCTCTCTTCAGTGTGTCAGCATTAGCGTGGCTTTCTGACCGTCGTCCACGCATCACACCGCTGTTTTAAAAGTGTGCTGAAGGTTCAGTGGTTCTCACTGGACTCTTACAGACAATCATCCCTGGGCCTGCGGTGCTTCCCCTGTCTCTCCTCTGCTCCAAAGTGACACTTGAACTTTATTGTCAGCTTGACTGGTAGAGAGGAGCCTGGATCTAGTGACACACACTCCTGGTATGTCCGGGACAGCATCCGCACGCAGGACGGGATCAGGAGGGCCCTGTGGAAAGAGCAGGTGTGCAGTGGGGCGTCACTATCGGCGCTGGAGAAGGTTGAAGATGAGGCCAGTTTAGCGCAAGTAGGTCCTTGGGGGCCGTGTGGCAGCTTGTGCTGGTTTCCTTCTGTGTGGCCCGCCTCCGCTTCCTGTTCACCAAGAAGCGGAGAAGAACTTCTATGTCATGTCCCCACTGCCAGGATGTCCTGCCCGAGCAGGTGGAGTCAGGCAACCATGAAGCGAGCCCTCTAGACCATGAGCCAAAGTGAATGCCCCTCCCTTAACCCATCTACACCAGGCGTCTGTCACAGCCACGAGAGAGTGACACCTCGCCCACGCTGTCTGCCTGCTGCGGTTCCTCCAGGATGTTCTGACCACGTTTGTCCCTCCATGGGAGAGTCCCTCGGCGGGTGACAAAGCCCTTGCCCTCTGCCTGGTTCCCGTTCCATCCTCAGGCGCCCGGTTGTTAGCAGGAGCGTTCACAGAACTGTCCAGGCTCCATCGTTTCCTCTGCAAGATGGAGCTGCCCAGGGCCTGGGCAAGAGCCGAGAGGTGTGCAACAGGTGGCTTCTTGAGTGGGGAACAAGTGTGAAACATTTCTTACAGAAGACTTGCCCACGGGCAGGTGAATCACAGAGCCCCTACCCCTGCTCTTTGTGACAGCAGTTTGAGAATTAGTTCAGAGGAATAATTGATAAGTTTGCTAAGTTAGAATTGATAAGTTGCTGAGTATGCTTTTGGGAAGCATATTAAGCAAACTTCTAGGCAGAATCTTGAAATTTCTACTATTTGAAAGAATATGCGCTAAAGCTAAGGCATTTTAGGCAGGAACTGGAGAGGTTAAGGTCACGCCCTGCTCTTGCAGAGAACCTGAACCCACATTCAGGTCCCAGCGCCCACGCTGGATGGCTCTTGGCCAGCTACAGCAGCCTCAGCTCCTTGTCACTTCGTGAATTCAAGTGCATCCTCGGCTGTGTGAGGAAATGGACCACAGCGCCTGCAAGATTCACCACTCGGCACTGTTGTTGGCTGACGCTGTTGTTTTCCTGCTGGGCTCACTGGATTCTGGGAATGAAGGAGCCACAGCCAACTGTGCGGTTCGTGGTCTCCACCTCCCGATGTTTTGTGTATGTTGGGTTCTGGCTTTTCAGTTGGGTCCTTTTGGTTGGAATCATGAGCTGGATTCCCCCCCCCCCCCACACACACACACATTCATGCTTTGGTTTTGAGGCAGGGTCATGAGATTGCCCAGGCTGGGCTTGAACTCTGAATCCTCCTGCCTTGCTCACCTTCCTGAGGTCAGGGTTATAGAGGAGAGCTGCCACACCCAGCCTGTCTTCCTATTTTTTGTTTCTTTCTTTCTGCCGGTCGTTTTTGATGTTTCCTAGTCTTACTCTAGGCCTCCCCATCTTCAGTTTTTATCCAGTTAAAATGTGGCTCTGCTCTTTGGATGGTTTGGGGATAGTTAAAGGCAGGCAGGGTAGGTTCTTCTAGTGGATACCTATTTGTTTTATGCTTAGAACATAGCAGATATTAATAAGATATGGTCCTAGCTTTGGGAGCATTTACAGACTTGCCCAGAGAGAAAAATCCAGTGTGGTAGAAGGCCTGTCCCTGACCTCAGCCTGATGTCCACCCCTGCTGCTGGTGCCGGTGATCTCCCAGCTGGAAGTGGCTGGGGCGTAGGCTCTGGGGACAGCGGCTGCTTGCTAAGTGATCCCCCACCCAGATTTGCTGTGCATGGCACTCTTGCTACTATGATTGACATAGTTTAATGAAATGAACTAAAACCGATGAAAAGCGTGCGCTAAAGTAGAGCCCTCACTTCTGTGAGAACCCTTGGAGAGACTCCACAAAGACAAATCGCTATCAGACGGGGTAAAAGTGATGAGAAGGAAATCAGACAAACCGGGGCACGTTCCAGACACGGCTTTCATGCTGCTTCCCAAATATCTTCAAGTTTCACTCCGCAGAGGAAACAAGCCTGGGAATGTCCGTCATTGTCTGTCGTTGAGGTTGTAATGGTTAATCTTGGCTGTCGGCTGGCTGCAGTTCAGAATCCGCCCGGCTTCCAGAACGGTGGACCTGAAGGAGGACCTTCCCTGAGTGTGTGTGGCCTCGTGGGCTGGGGTCCAGGCTGACTAAAGAGGGAAGGAGGAGGCCGTGAACAGCATTCCTCTCCACTGTCTGCCCTCCTACTGCAGTGCTCATGGCCAGGTGCGTGTGCCCACAGAGCACAGGCCAGAGCGCTTCCATGATTGGGCCGAGTGTTCACCGAAGAGCTGCTTGTTCCCGTGTACCCCGAAGTAGGCTTTGTGGGGACTGCTGGGTTAGAGGTTTGGCCTTTAGTCAGCGAACAGCAGACGCTTGCTTTGCTAATGACCAGAGACACAACAGTAGTGCGTATTATTAAGTATGATTTTGCTGACAGCTGTTTTTAGAGATTATTTTACATTTTAAATTGTTGTGGTAGTTAACATATTTCTTGCCCTAAGATATAGGCAAAGGAAAGCCCCTCACTTTGGAAGTGATGTTTGTTAATTCACAGCAGTATAGCTTCAGAACGTACGCAGGTGGGGCGAGAATCCCGAAGCCTGCAGCTCAGCGTCAGGGCCTGCTGTGAAGGAGAGGGAGCCATGCAGCATCTGGGCTGCCCAGCTCTGAGGACACTTACCGGCCATGGCCCCTTCAGCCCGCTCTGGGTGCCCGTGTCAGTCTGCTCACTAGGTGTTGCCCACTCTCAGTCACAGGACACAGGCAGCTGCTCCCACTCGCACACCTCAGGACCTAGGCAACATGTGCCTGCTGGCTGGCTCAGAGGACGAGAGGAAGAATGTGTTTTGAGCCTCAGGGTGGGTGGTTGGGTGGTGGTTGGTGGTTGGTTGGTTGATTGTTCGCTGGCTGGCTGGCTGGTTTTTGGTCTGAGGTTAGGAAGCACTTTATTTCAGAACACTGAACGAAGACTTGAGGCACCTAAGAAATGTGTGTCCTTTATAACAGTGCTTTAGCGTTGAGGGGCTTTGAAAGGCGCGGGCTAGGGAAGGGTGCCATCAGAGGGCTTTTTGAGTCAGTGAGGGCATAAAGTGGGGTGAGGGGGAGGCCGCTCGCAGCTGTGCTTTTCATCTTCCCCTGCAATATTGGCTAGCATCCCCACCCCCACAAGCTTGCCCTCTGTCCCTGGGTGCGGCCGTGGGAGGTGCCGCCATGCATGCTGGCCGCCACTTTGGCCAGCCCATGCAGCTCTCCCTGTGTTGTGTCGGTTTCCCCGCTCCTAGTTCCGGCTGCTTCCCTGTGCCCAATTCTTGGCACCTGCCACCTCTGTAGATTGTGCAGAAGCGCAGAGCTGTGCGGTAGACAGTTATGCGGGAACTGGAGAGCATGGACTCCTCCTCAGCCTTCCGCTCTCGTGCAGCCTGAGCAGTTTCATCAAGGACCCGGCTGAGGTTAGAGGAGAGAGCCGGGCCCTTCCCCTTCCAGGAGGGCTGGCCTCCATGAGCCTCCCAGGGCCCGGTTCTGTGGCTTTTGTCCTGGTTTAACGTATTTGTGTGTCGGGTTGGGCCCGCCCGGCAGCTCGAGATGTGCCTTCGACCTTAGCTGGTGGGTGTGCTGTGCCTTGCTGAACTGATGTCCTTCTGCTCCTGCCGCAGACCTCCCCACCCTCAGCAGCTTCGGGGTGTTGGCTTCTTCTGTGGTCCCCGAGGTGCTGCGATACAGACAGGTCAACCCAGAAGCTTAGCGAGAGTGGCTCGGTGACACGCTGCTGCCAAATCCGTCCTCAGGTAACACCCTGGCCCAGGCCATGTATTCAGTGCTGTCAAAGCCGGTGTGCAGAAAGGGACGAGCGTTTGATTTCTCGTTTTCCGTATAGTGGGTAAAAAACGGAGAATGTTCCAACTGAAGGTGTGTGTGGCGTGTAAAATACTTGCGTGTATGCATGTGTGTGTTGTAAGATGGGCTTGAGCTGAGCCCAAAAGTCAAGGCTGCCTTCTGGAAGGCTGAGCAAGGTGGCTGACAGAGGCCACCGCTGTCCCCGAACTCCCGGTGTGAGTGACCACGCGCCTCCATTGTGCCATCCGTGTCAAGGCCTCACTTGAAGATGATTGGCGCCGTCTGTGCTGGTGAGCGTGTGCTGCAGTCACGCTGAGGCTGCTGGCTCGAGGGACTGGCTGGAGGAGCTCAGAGCAGGCACGGGCAGGGGAGGGGATGGGGGCGTGGGTGATTGGCGCCAGCCAGCCAGAGAGGGGTGGAAACAGGAGTGGCCTGGCCCAGCCAGCGCTCTGCAGGGATGCGTGCCCGCGCCCACGCAGGTGCTTTACCTCGTACTGTCTCCTGAGCCATACAGTGGCCCTGAGAGTGCTGTAGCGTTTGTCCGGGCACACCGGTGACTCTTCTTTCAGTGCTTCTGCGGCCGCGAGTGGCCTCTGGGCATTCCGACCCACGCGGCCAGCGTGCCACCACCGGGCACCCTGTCTCGGGTCTCCACTACCCTGTCTGGACTTGCAGTCTGCTGTGTCACTCCATTGCCAACCCCCCTTGAGACCACACATTCATTGCTGGGAGTGTGGTGCAGGTTGCAACTACACACACACACACACACACACACACACACACACACACACAAGCTAGAGAGAGAAAGAAGCCCTCACACATGTACACAAACTTACAAGTAAAAATAAGGTGTCAGTTAAGCCGGGTGCAGTGGCGCACACCTCTAATCCCAGCACTTGGGAGGCAGAGGCATGTGGGTCTCTGAGTTCGAGGCCAGCCTGGTCTGCAGAGCGAGTACCAGGACAGCCAGGGCCACGCAGAGAAACCCTGTTCAGAAAAACAACAACAAAAGGTGTCAGTTGGCGTTTTTATCCATGGAGGACAAACATCCCAGGCACTCTGCCTCAACTCTCTTGTCTTACACATATTTCACTCTCTCGTTTAGAGGAGCTGTGCTCCGTAAGGAGACTCTCTACATGTGAGTGTAAGCACGAGCGTGCCAGAGCACACGTGTGGCTCCAGTGGCAGGTGCAGGTGTCAGTCCTTCCCCTTCCCTTCGCTTGAGACGGGTCCCTGGTCGTTGGAGGCTGTGAGCCCGGGTTAGCTGATCCATTCACTAGCTGACCTGTCTCTGCTGTCAGGATTTGGGGTTACAGGTGTGTGCTCCCACATCCATCTTCAGGGTTGCTGTGGGGATTTGAACTCAGGTCCTCACCCTTGTACACAGATGCTTTACCCACTGCACCAGCTCCAGCCTCCATGTGTTTTCATGTAGTTAACAGCTGGGAGCTTCGGTTTCATGTTTCGTGATATCTGCCTTTTGACAGCATTTCCTTTTGATATTCGCCAGGCGCATGTGGAGACTGGAGGGTCCTGCCAAGGGGTCTCTGCTTGGTTCATGTGTGTCGTCTGAACAGCACTGCAGTGGCGCTGTCCAGAACTCAAGCTTAGGCTTCCGCCTCCAGCGTGCAGCCTGCTGCCGGCCCGTGGGGCTTGTCAGGTGTGTGTGGGTGTTTGAGGTGCAGACAGTGAGCACAGTCAAGCCAGGGAGGGCAGCGCAGTGGTCTGCCTTACAGGGAGGTGTAGAGCAAGTGGGAACTGGCTGCCAATTCTGGGTGTTTGTGTAAGGGAATGCGTGTGTGCGAGGACCTCATGCAGTTAAGCTTTAGAGCGCGCAGCCCAGGGTGGTGGACAAAGCAGCACGACCTTTTCTAAGAAATTCCTGTCCCAGAGAGTGACAGGCCGAGGAGGACAAACGGCAGCTGCTGTCTCAAGGCTGGCCAGGTGCACGTGCAGCGAGACAGGCAAAGGCGCTGCTTTAGGGCACTTTTGAGGCTTTTAGAGATAAGCGTCAAGATGAATTGAATCCGAGGCAGATGTGTGGACGAGCGCTCTGACCTGCAGACTCCTCCGGTAGCTCCTGGTGGGGCAGGTCTCCGATCCTGCCTCACCCCCACTCCCTTCTCTGCTGTGCTTCCCCCCCATCCCTCCCTCCCTGCCATTGCTCCCTGCTTTACCTCTCTCGACACCGAGATGTTCACTGTATGAAACCAGCCAGCTCCATGTCCTTGTCATGGCCTCCATAATGTTCTGTTCCTCTCAGGCGTTTTGATGGTGACACACCTGGGAACGAGCAGAGGGGTGTTGAGCAGCTTTGGGTTCCGGCCCTGACCTTAGGCCAAACAGAGTCGGGAGAAAGCATGTCCTGTGGGATAGACAGGACACAGGACATAGAGTGGTGCGTGTTTCACAGAGAGAAGGGATGAGCACACAGACGCTCGTGCCCTGGCTTTCTAACCAGCTCTGTGACAGCGGCTGCTCGGGAGGCACTGGTCTGTCACTCTTTTCTCCCGGGAAAAAGCATCGACACACTGTGAATGCAAACTTTGTTTATGCACCCTAGGCGGTCTCTGCAGTTAATGCCCTGTGAGCCGTTACAGTGGGGGTCAAGAGTCTGTGGGTTCACACTCAGAAGGCTGCACACCAAAAAGCCAATTGTGTTACATGATTTAAGAATGAAGGGGGTTGGAGAGATGGCCAGAGCAGCAGCTGCCTCTGGAGAGGGGCCGGGTTCAGTTCCAGGGGCTGCTTCTTCCTGGAGTGTCTGTCCCCACAGGCAGGGCACCCGAGGGCAGAAAAATGAGTCTAAAAATATGTAAAAACAAAGAATTTCGAGAATTCTGTATGCTCTTTGAAAATGGAGACGTGGCTGTAGCTGACCTCTCAGTTACTTTATTGGGTTCTTTTCCCTTCTTCCCTGCACCACTCCCATCTGTCCCCCACCCCAACACTGGGTGGGAGAGAGAGGTGGTTAGAGGCGAAAGAGGGTGTCAGTGTTGTCAGGCTGCTTCCTGCTGATTACAGGTTCCGTTCTCTGGGGAAAATTTGATCTTTGTTGTCAGGGTATCAACAGCCTGGTAACCAGCAATCCAGCAGCCATGGGGAGCAGGGGCAGCACGGGGAGCAGCGGGAGCACGGGGAACAGCAGCTGCAACCCCTCTTAGGGCTCTGGCTTCTACCAAGAGTCCCCAGAATTCCAAATGTAAACTATCCTCAGCTGGCAAAATTTTGTCTCTGCCAGAGCATGAGACAAATCATAGTCACCTGCTGCGTGCGGACAATCTAAGCAGCCCATCTCCCACACCTGTTATGGGATTAAATGTTACGGGATTAGAATGAAAACATGTTCCCATAACATTTCTGTGTTTTTAAAAAAGCGTTTGTCTGTGGGTGGTAGTAAGTATAGCTGTTCTGTGCAATGATCGGTTACACTGCCTCATTTAGCCCCGGGGACGCTCAGGAATAGGTCTCTCCCCTCCGTCTGCTCCCTGTCTCCGTCCATGCCACCTGTGTTCTCACACCGGAGGTCAGCTCAGTCCTAAGCTCAGTGAGGAAGGACGGCACTCATTTCTCTAACTCTGAGGTGGAATTTGAGGTTTGCACGCTGGGGTCACAGTGAGGCCAGTCAGGCCTCGTCCTCTGACTGGCCTGTCGCCGCCTCTGCACCGAACCTGGGTGCAGTGTTGATACTCTGATCTCGGTTGATTGTGATGGCCTTCCTGGCCTTGTTGGCAGGGCACATTGAGGGGTGTAGATGGCCACAGCTGTGGTGACTCTTGGTGAACATTTCTGATTCTAGGGTGAGACAGCATCAGACCTAGACAGCTGTTGGCTCCTTCATCATGTTTAATTACCATGGAAACGACAAAATTGTGAGATCGCACATTATATTTTTATTTTTGAGACCTGCTATATATATATATTTATACAAATTAGAAAGCAGAAATATCATACAGTAACTTTCATTTTATATTTAAAAATATTAATGTACAAAGAAGCCCTTAGCACGCCCATCAAAAGATAAGTGCATCTGAGCCACGAAAGTTCCTGTTTTGCCTTCATCCTCGTTAAACAGCACTGGAACTAACATTAAGATTCCAGAGCTTGGAATTTAAAGAAGTTAAGGCCAGACCTGGCAGCTTGCACACTGGGCCCAGGAAGCAGGAGCCTGAGGCAAGAGGATTATGAGATCAAGGCCAGCTTGGTCTAGATAGTGAGTTCCGGGTCAGCTTGGGCCACAGTGAAATCCTGTCCCAAAGGAGAGGAAAAAGAAGAGTTAGTTGAAACAGTGTCTTCAATGTAGGGATGCAGTTTGCTATAGATGTTGGTTCTCGAGAATCTGTCATCTTGTTTTGTCTCCACAGTGCTAGAACATGGTGGGTATAATCAGAAGTTGGGATACCCATACTGTGACTACAGGCGTGTGTGAGACAGACAGACAGAGACAGAGGAGAGAGACTGCGCGCACCACAGTGTAGATGCAGGTTTCTGTCCCCTGTGGCTCCCTCCCCTCAGCATCTAAGAACCTGGGACCCACAGCTTCCTCCTCGTGGCACCTCGGTGTGTGGGTGGTTTGTCTGGATACCCTCACTCCTAGCCTTGATGGCAGATTTGAGTTCCCATTTAAATGTGGGCCCAGAGCTGCTCTTGCTGGACCTGAGGACTTATTTTCCATTTTCGACAGGGCCCCTTCATCTCGCAGCAGGGCTGGGGTGGATGTGGCCCTCTCCGCAGCCCCTCCTCCCCTTTGTCTGGTTTTGTTTTTAGAGGCTAAGGGCTGTGTGGGTGGCGCCATTATCTCCCTGCAACCCAGAGCTCTGTGGCACTGTTTTATGTCCAGTTTTGGACAGTTCTGATTTCAACAAAATATAGTCACTGATGAACTAAGAAAAGTGCTTCATTTTCTCTTTAGTTTATGAAATTTTTAGTGTCCTATGAGTTACTCTGTTTT